GGCAAAAAGCAACAGAGGGGTGTTGGGGGGGGGGGCTATTTACATTACATTTTACGATTGAGAATTTTCATTGAAAGGCCGGTTGCACCCTTATTTATTGTTAGAGTAAGAGTCAAATAAGGATAATGTGGTATATTAGGAAGAAAATATGGCACTGAATTTTTTTTCCTCCCCCAAACATATAAGATTTTCGAGTTTGGTCAAATTATTTTTTTTCTTTCAGTTTCTGTCTGGTAGGTTGAAACTTTTTCTTTGATTGGCCTCTCCCCACTTTCAAATACAATGCTACGTCACTGTATTTACCTCACCAATCTACGTGTTAAAATGAAGAAGGTTCTCTACTGGATAGAAATACAGTTGTGGAAATCCACGATTTTGAAATTCCTGCATTAATAAAATTGTTTACTTTTAAAAATGTAAAATTGAAACAAGGGCGTAGAACTCGTTACAGTTTATTTATTTTATCTTAGACTTCTACAGTTTCTTTTAATGAGATTTACAATTTTGTCAAGTAAAAGGCCGAATAAAAAACACTTTTTATTTTTTGAAATTTCACTTAATTCTGCAACACAGATTTAGACAATTAACAAAACAGAGAAGTAATTAAAATGTCAAAATCAGCATCTTACCAACATTTATATTTTTTTCCATTCATATCAAGTTTAAAAGGTGCTGAATTTACAATAAGTGTTCTTAAATCGAAGACCTTGGTTTACAACATTCGTATGTATTCAAATTTATAATATGCATATGAGAAGAAATTTAAATGTATGTTACTAAATCATATTTAAAAATAGTATCTACTTAAGTTTTTGAAAGACATTGCCAACAACAAATTAGTAGTATAAAGGCGGGTCAAACCATTTTGTTATAAATTTAAAGATATAATGAAAACAAAATTTCACTAAGTTAAAAGTAAATAATGTATTTAATCCCCAGCTGTATGTTAATGAGATTCCAAGTCTTACTTCGTTCATAACAGATTATCGTCACGTCTTCTGGATGATGTATCACTACATTTGTTGCACATGCGTGAGGTTCTAGCTGCAGGATGTCCTGTCACCTTGTGTAGTAAAGGTCAACAAAATGACAGTCCCATAAACTTAAAACTTTTAAAATATATTATTCAAAAAGAAAAGCATAATGTGACACTAATTTTATTTACCGCATTTTGTATTAATTGCAAGTAATATAAATAATATAATAATTAATTTTACACATTAAAAAAATTTGTCTTGACTTTTTTTTTTTGGATTGCGCGCAAATTAATTATATGCTTTTAGTGTTTTTAGAGGTAAAATCCTCCGTAGAAGTTAAACCTGATTTTTTGAAAAATAAAATATCATCATATATAGTTCAGTACCGTAATTTATTTCTCATCATGTATTATTCATTTTCATTTAATCCGACATCTTTAGCAAAAAATTTTGCAAGTGGCAAATTTACTTTATTTTATTGGAGGATGTCCTTTAATTCTTTTCATTCGGGGCACGTTTTGTTTCCAGCAAAGTATGATGATTGAAGAATTGAAAGAGAAAAATCCGCTGGCTAAGTGCATGCACCTATCACTGTTCATATTTATAAAGTGTAAAGTACAGGAAATAATAAGAAATTGTAATTACAAAGCATTGTATACTTTTTTAGTTTCTGTTTGAAATATCTGAAGACGTATTGGAAATCTCACCGAACCAATGAAGTACATGTATGATTGTTTGTTAATTATTAGTCGATATTGTTCATAGGGTTTCTGAAGTCCGAATAATTACGCATTTTTAAAAAACATTTGCAAAAAAATTGAAAGGTTTATTAGAGAAAGGATCCAGAATCAGGAATCAACTACATTAAATTTCTTCATGACAGTGTCCAAACCTGCACGCCTGGAAGAGTAAAGGGGTTTTCGGGATAAACAGAAAGTTAATGTTTTTTGCACATTAACAATATTCGCCAGATCTTTGACCTTCTGACTTGTTTCTATTTCCAAACTGAAAAAAAAACCTTTCAGAAGGACAAAACAAGTCCAGCAGGAAATCATTGGGTCTGCCATTTTCCAGTATCCTAAGGGTCATACCCAAAAATGAGTTCTAAAAACTATCAGAATTTGGATAAAAAAAATATTACGATATGTGTTTTAATTAAAAGAGATTAATAAGTTAAATCATGAAGACCAACTAATTGAAAAGCGTCATTTGCTTCTTTCCGAGCACCCAGGACATTATTTATTGAACAGCCCTCGTACAACCATTCCCCACGATGAATTAAAGTTCAAACTTTTTTATATTGTTGACAGCTGCTTTTTCAATCAATATATGGAACTCGTAAATTTATCAAACAGTGTAATTGGTCATTTTCAAAATTATTTAATTAAACTGATTGTGTTAATATAAAAAAGATGCTAGAGTTTTTGAATGACAACATATATGCTTTTTTTAAAACCAACAATCTATTGGGATATCCCATCGGTACCAGTTGCACCCCACTAGCTATAAGCAGACCTATTTTTGTACTAAAATGAAGCAGTTTTTGTCCAAAATCTTCTATGTGAAAGAAAAGTTTTGCTTTCAACTCGAAAAAGAACCCTCACTGCTCAATGGCCCTGGGTGCCGAGAATAGGAAAACGTGCAGCTCTCCATCGGCAAGTGGTGACGTCTCCATATGAGCATATGAGCGAAAAAGTCTGGAGAGGAACGGTAAACAACATAATCAATCAATCAATCAACTCGACATTTAGATACAGTATATCGCCGACGTATTGTCAATTAACAATGGTTATTTCCAGTCTTATGTTGATAAGAGATATCCCAGAATTTGAAATAAGATGCCACAGAATCTGATACATCTATTTAGTATTTGGATATTTTACTTGAAAAAGACCTTAATGGTAATCTAACAATCATGTAGCAATATAACTTCATCATCTACATAAGGGGTTTCTATCTCTTAGCTTATTCAATGCGCAAGAGCATGTTTTACTTATGATCAATTTCTAAAATTAGGTTATTGACAGGCAAGTTGCTAATCGAACATTTTGTGACAGTTTGTTCCATAAAAATGCAGATGATAAAAGAACGTTTGTAACAAATATCAGCAGTCTCGTTTAGATTCATCATTTCGTAAGTTCTATGGCCGATACAGTGATCTTGTCAGCATATACAATATACTATTGAGTCAAATGATGACCGACGTTTTACATTCAAGTGTTAGACCATTATTTACACACTGAATTGTCGACGGATTTTTTCATTATTTCTCGATCATGACAAGGAGCACAAGCGTACGGCTGGTGTGACGGGTCGGCAGGGGATGCTCACAACTCCATGGCACCTGATCACACCTCTGATGATTTGAAAGTCTAGGTTTGCTCTGTTCCAAATTTGTGTTGTTAAAAAGACTTTTGAGCCTGAATACTATTCGTTTTTCATATATTTCATTTGAAACAATTCTGAAAATGAAGCTTAAAATATAAATCTTTTTGTGCAATAAAAAATATATTTCGTATAATGTGATAATCTTTTATATATTAGAAAGTCTTTTAAAATGATTATATTTGCACTTCACAATTGTACAAAATAAATGAGTTTTAGAGAAATGGAACTCCCTTAAATTTAGCTGTAATGATAACAAGCATATAGATTTAAGAGGACTGGGTGTTTATGGCCCTTTTATGACTATATTAATCTATATTTTCTCCTTTGACCGAATATGACAAGATGAACACGGTCGGCGTCGCCGGTAAGCACGGGGTATATGCTCTTCTGTGGCACATGGACAAAACACTTTTGAACATGAATGTTGTTTGTTATCTCACAATTTCAAAAATGAGAAGTCAGGATGCTTACATGTATAGTGTTTCCTCCTTGAATGTATTAATTGATAAATTTTAAATTAGAAAATGTATAACTGGTGCTTTATTGATAGGTTTATGAAGAAACATGAGTTGTATAAGCACAGTATATAATTGAAAAAAAAAATCGAAAAATATTAAACTAAATATACTTAATAGAACATTCTTATTTGAAGCAAATTTAGTATTATCAAAATTGATTCTTTCATAGATTAGGTTTTCATTTATAAATCAAACATGCAAATCATTTATAATGTGTCTGATCTAAGAAGCCTCCATATACCAATCTGAAGATGCATTGCCCTTAATTTCTTTAAATGAATTTTTAAAACACAGTTTTTTTATTCTACAAATCATACATAACATTGTCAAACCTGTCGTTAAATTAAAAGGAATAAACGCGCATTTGAAAAGCCAGTTTTAATGATATACATCTGGTATAAAAGGTGCACCTTTCTCAGATAACCTATACAGGTTTTAAAAAACCAAAAGGTTATACCTTAAATGAATGCTGTTTAAAAAGATAAGGCATCCGTTTAAATCGCAATACGTTAGGCATCATTTATGATTATATTTATGAATGATTTCAGAAATTGGCAAAGGTAAATACAGACTTTGATTTATTAGCATCGGAAATTGTAATATAAATTTTTCTACATATCAAAAAAAAAACGTCAAAATACACAATACACATAAATAACCTATCAATCAAATATAAAGAACATCAAAAGCATTAACAAAACTACGAAATCCATTGACATTAGTTAATATTTTTAAGGTAACATAAATTCCAGAGTGTCTAATATGTATTTAAAAAAAAAACGAACATGCCTTGAACAAAAAAGGAATTGTTTTCTCAGTGCAGTTTGATTGATGATATTAATAATTAAACAATCATTTACAATGTAATTGCTAGTTAAGCAGACAATTAACATGAAATACAGGGACAGATATATTGAATTGGGATATTTGAATTCCGGAAATGTTACGTCACGATAAAGAACAATAGCAAGGTCGGAACTACAATCTGAAAATAGGAACAACAACATCCGATTTTACAATTATTGGGAATTTCTTTCTTATGAATTTCATTAAAGATTTCATATATAAGGCATATATAAAACAATCATAATCTAAAACTTACTCCAGAGAAAAGAAAGGCGAAAGAACAACGATAAGATACACTCTTACAATAATAATGTATAGGTAAGTTTTTTTTCTGATTATATTTTTCATTATTATTTATAAGTTCTGTAATCGATGCAAAATTGGAATTGAATGAAATTGTGCTAATTATTGTTTGCATTGTTTCCAGACAGAGATTTGGAACATCTTCAAGAATCTTTATTATCTTCATCATCGCTACATCCAATGTTTATGTTCGAGCACAAGAGACCAACACCTGTAATCAGATGTGTAGAGAAGAAAAGAAATACTGTACAAAAGACTGCGACATGCCAAGACTAAGGCATGAGAGCGACCAGTGTAAAGGACAATGCAATGAGGACATGTTATATTGTCTAGATCGCTGCAATAACATGGTAGAGCTAACACATAATATTCCTGTGAGAAATGTAGCATTGGTTAAAAGTGATGTACCCAGTGAAAAGCAACAAAATGCAAAACCACTCTTTCCTAATGTATTTGATGTAAATTTTGTCAAATTGTCATCCGAGAAAATATTTGATTCTCACCCTCCAACGACCAATATACCACCAAGCACCAGCGTAAACCCTTCAACGACCAATATACCACTAAGCACCAGAGTGAACGTCGACAAAAATCAATCAGAAGTCACTGAAAACTCTAAGAAATGTGTTGCACAATGCACCTCAAAGGAATCTGAGTGCGAGGTTGAATGTCTCATCGCATATCATGCAAACAATTTTCAAGATAGTGACTGTTCATCCGGATGTGAGAGGAATAAAAACATCTGTATTAAGAACTGTGAAGCTGAGAGGAATGAACCCAGGAGAACCGAGGAGGACATCGTAGTGGCAGTTCCGGGTCAGGTTTCAAACCTCAGAATACCATCACTGTCTTTGGAAAGAGAAATTAGTGTCTTAGAGAAAATCTTAATGGGACTTCCATCCTCGGGCACGCAAATGATAGGGAAATGGGTATTGTAGATTATTTAAATAATGAAATCCACTCATTCTTGGCATATCATTCCTCTTTCATAAATTGTTATTTCTTTCATTTTTTTTAACATTTATATATTTATCGTATCCATTGTTTGATCCATTGTTGTTTATAGATTTTCATTTCCTTCGTTTTTTTTATTACGTTTTATACTTATTTATGTTTATAATAAAATTTGCGAAAAAAATCTTGATCAGTTCTCTATAAACAGGAGAGAACTTGGCCATATGCAAAATATGTAAACTCGACATTTAGATATATCGACAACGTACTGTCAATTAACAATGGTAATTTCCATTCTTATGTCGATACGATATATCCTGGTGAGCTTGAGATAAAAGATACCACAGAGTCTGACACATCTTTTTCATATTTTGATATTTTACTTGATGAAGGGTATGGAGATAAAGAACAGTATTCAATATCAAAGTCCATTAAACAATACAAAGTAGGAGTAGGGCAAACACGGACCTCTAAAACATCAGAGGTGGGATCAGGTGCCATGGAGGAGTGAGCATCTCCTGCTGACCGGTTAATTCATTAATGGTGATCCAACAGCCACGCTCTATGATAAACGTGATAACTTTATCTTTTCTATCTTCAACTTCCCTTACTTATGCAGCAATATACCTTCATCACCTGCATACGGAGTATATATATATATCTCAGTTGATTAGATACGCAAGAGCATGCTCTACGTATGAACAATTTCTACAACGAGGTAAATTATTGACAAACAAGTTGATAAAACAAGAATTTCAGCAGTCTCGTTTAAAGTCATCATTTCATAAGTTCTATGGTCGAATCAATGACCTTGTCAGCAAATACAGTTTATCATTGAGTCAAATGCTGAATGACGTTTTTCATACTTATTGTTAAACCATTATTTATACACTGAATTGACAACGGATTTTTCCTTTATTTCCCGATCATGACAAAAAGCACAATTGTTCTGGAATACTTTTCGTTATCTCCATATGTTTCATTTAAATCCAGAGTAACAAATGGCAGAATCATATTCCCACTTTATCATATTCTTCTCAAATCTGCTTGAAAATGATCGTAGAATTGGTCTTTCCAGTCCCTCCATTGAAAAACAAATATCAAATAAAATTTCTCTTAGAGATGGGTTTTGATTTTCATACTCTTTGACTTATATGATTCTCAATTGAATCAGTATCCCTTGCAAATGAAACATTTGCAAAATCTGTCATTCATTCCACTTATTACAAATTTAAAACATGATCATTGAGGCAAAAATTGCTTTATTTAATGACTAAATGAATTATCCTGAACTTAAACTTAGGTAATCTGGAGAAGTTCACTGGCAGAAAAAATATATAAGATATATGAGTAATGTGTAACAGGTCTAATTAAATTCGAATGCATACCAAAGGAAAAGAGTAGAAATTCATACTTGATATCCAAATTACCTTGGACCTAAGCATGTTTCATAAACTTGACCAAAGATTATTTAGGAATAATCAACATAATGCTGAATTCATGTTTTCACACTTCATAATGGGAACACATTGGGACCTTAGAATTAGCGCATAGTTTTCTTCTGACATTTCGTTAGCAAAAACTTACAAAAGGATCAGGGACACTGAAAAAACAAGAATATATTCTGTGTAATGCCTATCTTCTTGAGAGAGAGAGAGAGAGAGAGAGAGAGAGAGAAAGAGAGAGAGAAAATTAAAGTTTTAATTAGATTAAACGAGAGGGAATAACAATTAATAAATTTCTTTCAATGAGAAAGTTCCAACTTCACACAGAGATTATACATATTAAGGTCAGGTGATACGTTCCTCAGATGTCTGTTTGTAAATCTTTATATTATATTAAAAATATTTAAAATTATAATTACCTTCTGATTTCTTAACTAGTTTCTAATTGTCTGAAAACATTACAACATTACAATGACAAAACAATCCTCTTGTATCTTTCAGGCACGTAACAACAGGGGGAGGGGGGCTTTTTTCCAAACATAACTTTTAACTATAGAAAATGTTCATTTAAAGACCGGTTGGCCCCACAACTTTTTGTAAGAGTAAGGGTCAAATAAGGGTAATGTAGTATATTAGGAAGAATATTTGTTACTGAAAGAAGAGAAAGCTACCTCCCCCCCCAAAATAATCGGATTTTCGAGTTTGGGCAATCCCCCCTTTTTTGCTTGTCAAGATTTTTCAGGTCGGTTGAATTTTTCTGTCTAGTTGCCCCCTCCCATAAATATATTATTTAGGAATGTATCATCTGTTCTTAATGTGACCAATTTGAGTAGGTATCTATGAAAACATTGGATTTTTTTTACAATATTGAAATTCAAATGTCAAACAAGACATGAATTTTGTCGAATTTTTAGGCATATTTTATGAATTATGACCAGATTTAGAAATCATAACCTTTTAAAAATTTATTTAATGCATAAAATGATAATTTCAAAAAATGTGAATATCCCTGCCATCTTGTCTTTTACATTGCCTATTTTGTTAATACATACATATGTTAACCAATACCAACCACTATAAACCATGCGTTTGATAAGTTTGGCATCCGTATTTTAATAATATCTAAGATAACGTATAACCTTCTGACGCAGTACAATCAGACGGAAGCCATATTTGTTGAGTAAAGTGTTTGAAATTTTGATGTTAAGATTTAATGTATTTAGCGTGTCTGAATTCATAGAATATGTTACACTGGCAGCGGTATCGAAATACTTTTTAATTATTGCAATACTAGTGATGGTCATTTTCTTATTCATTATAATAACCTTGTTAGCAAATACATCCTATCATTGGGTCCTATTTACTGACTTGTTTCATACCAAATAAGGCGTTTGTTTTTATACTGAATTAACTACGGGGAGTTTCGTCTACCTGAACAACGCGGTAGGTGTTACTGTTTAACAGGTGGTGCCTAATCAGGCACCTGATCCCATCTTTAGAATTTCCAGGGGTTCATGATTTTTAACACTACTTTGTATTGTTTTATGGACTTTGATTATTAAATACTGTTCGTTATCTCCATATCCCCCCCCCTTATACCCTATTCATATGTATTTGTATTTTATATAGATTGTATGAGATATATCACTGATCGACCACTTTTCGTTATCCTTACCTTTTATATCATAAGCTATTGTTAAATAAGTTGCTGACACAAGAAAATCAACATTCTTGTTAAAAGTCAACATTTTGCGAATTTTGTAGTCGTTGCAAACTAAATCTAAAAGAGCTAAAAAGATATACATTTCTTTGAAATATTAATATATTATCTATGTATAAAGTGCGTACATCGCTCTGGTATTATGCTAACAAGAACTTTTAATTTTCACGAAATCATTTTTAATATCTGTGATAATATAATATGTACTATTAAAAAATATTCATAAAAAATAAAACGATTGAACTTGGTTGACAGATTTTTTCCGAATATCAATAAATAAAATAAGTTAATGATAATGTCGTGGATTTCAAAAAATGAATTGCTCTAAATATACTCATTTTCCTAATGTTTTTTAAAAAATAATTGTAATGTCTTAAGATTACATAATACTTTGCAAGAATTATGAATAAGGTGACGTTTTATTATTAAACATGGTTTTGAATGTCTTTGTTTCGCAAATTTCGCTTAGGAGTCTTCTAAACCTCAAAGCAGAAAAACATTATAATTGTGGGATTAAATTTAAAGTTACTTCTCATTCCAAACACGAATTCCATTTGACAATAAAAGGACAATTAAAGTCGTGTTAAATTAAAGTTATGTCTGAAGATGCAATTAAAACCATCTAAAATCCAGTTACAAGAAAGATACATAGAAAGCTTACAAATGATTCATCATTGAAATAACGAGAAATTTTTCTCTTTAAAGTTTAATGTTAAGTATGCTTTTCAGAATTTTAATATGAATTAAAATGATTAATGATATACAGGCCTAAATGTAGGGTAACAGGTGATTAACGCAAAGGTAATAGCAACAAGACCGACAGGTTTTCTCGTTTTCTCCATATGCAACAAAGACTTTTCCATACAATTAAGATGAAATTAAGAAATGACAAAAATGCAACAACGATCATAAGAATAAAAAAATATTTAATGAATAAAGGGATAGTAAAGAGATTCCTCACTGAAGATACAAAATACAACACATAGAAAAATAAATATCAACAAGGACACTTTACTATGAAGAAAATGAAATTAAACAAAGAGTCTTAAAAGTAGTCTAAGTCATTAATCAAAGCAAAATTCAAAACAAGGAATTGATATTATGCTTAGATATTGTCGCTTTTTGAGTCCTTCTAGTACTCAGATCCAGACCACATTGGTGTGGGACGTTGTGTACGAGATCGAGTGAACTCTTTAGATGGGTTTCTTTTCCTTTCGAATTCTATAAAAGTCTTCACCCTTCGTTTGAATCTGATGATGGTACATAGTCATAGTCTTCACCATGGTTAAAATGTATGTCATTATATAAGTAATTATTATAAAATTCAGGTTTTGATACTCGCTCTTTTTGCTTTTCGAGTCTCTCTATCTGTCGTTTCACTTCTTCTTCACTGCATTCAGCCACACATTCTCTATGGTCATCATAACATTCAGTCGAACAGCCAACTTCTGGTGTGCCAATCTTACAATCATCTAAGCAGAAATTTCTTTTAGCGACACATGATCTCTGGCAAAGCATTTTTAGTATGCTCATTGGTTTTGCGGAACTTATCTTGACTGCCCCTTGTTCGAAATTTGTATATGGTGATTCATGTGCACCTGTTTCCGATGCCCTCTCCAATTGCTTTTCAAGTTTATCTTTTTGGCGTTCCAGTTCATCTTCGTTGCATTCCTTCACACAGTCTCTATGATCATCGTAGCATTCAGTAATACACCCGGCCTCTGGTATACCAGTTTTACAATCATTTAAACAGGAGTTCCTTTGGGTAACACAGGTTGTTTGGCATATCAATTTAAGCGCGCTCATTGGCTTCGTAGAGCTTATTTTGATTGTGCCATGTACTTTCTCATCTTTGTTTTCAGCTATATTATAAACACCTGTTTCTGATGCCTTTTCTAACTGCTTTTCAAGTTTGTCCTTTTGTCTTTCAACTTCTTCTTTATTGCAGTCAGCCACACACTCTGTGTTATCTTCATAACATTCCGTCGAACACCCGACTTCTGGCTTGCCGATCTTACAATCACTTAAACAGGAATTTCTGGTTATCACACATGATGATAGGCATAATAATTTGAGCATACTCATCGGTTTTGAGGCACTTGTCTTGATTTCTCCACTGATGGTTTGGATTATAAGCTCTGCTTTTGGTTTTGGGGTTGCAACGACAGTTTTTGCCTTTTGTATTGATGGTGTACTGATAGATCTAGTATTTTGTGAAATTTCAAGTCCAGTATTACTTTTTCCAGATATCGCTCCAGTCTTTTGTTGTCCATAATCTTGATTACATTCAGAAACACATTCATCATATTCAAGTGTACATTTCGTTTGGCAAGATGGATCTGTTGCAGCACATTCGCTTTGACAACTAGACCTCTCCGTAGAACATAGTCTTACACAAATAGAATGGATTGAGTAGGGTTGTCCTTGATTGGTGTTAGAAGGATCAACCCAGTTGACATTTGTTGACTGCTGAGAGTTCCAATTAGCTGCTGAGGCTTGCTTAGTGTACACGTTATAATTTCCAGTCTGGGGTGTGTTTCCCTGCGTTTCTTTCACAACGTCAATTTGGACTGTATCTAAGGTGTTTGTTGTACTACCAGCTGCAGCATTTGCGTCTGGATACTGGTCGTTACACTCTTTTTGACATTCCGCTAGCTCTGCCGGACATTCAGTCAGGCAAGATGTATCGGTAACGTCAGTCTGACAATCAACCATACATTCTACATTTTCTATAGAACATTGCACCAGACAGGTAACCTTTTGCTGGTTTGTTGAATTTGTTGCAGTGGTTTGTACATTGGATGACTGTACAGCAGTTGTCCCACATCCCTGCACACATTCGTCATAATCTGTAGTGCATTCTGGGAGACATCCGGGTTCTGGATCTTGATTGCATTCATTCTGACACCCGGTTCTCACCACTGAACATGCTTTAAGACACACTGATGTTGGTGAGGGCTTAGTGGTTGATACCTCAGAAACTGTTGCTTGAGTAGTCACTCCTGCTTCTACAATTGGGGTGTTTGAAAATCCCTTTGGAAGACAACCCTCTGAGCAAGATGAATATGTAAACTTGCAGGTCTTTGAGCAGTCTAAAAATCCGTTTCTGTTTAGCAGATGTTGCTTTCGACAAGTTGAACTACAGCCCACGTGGTCCAGATGACAAGATTTCTTACAGTGATCTGGTGATGTATGCAATGAGACCTCTGTACTTAGGGCCACGAAGCCAAGTGAAATACCAAGGATAAAAATCTGAATTAAAAATAAGCTTGTTTAAATCAAGAGGTCTATTCTGATAAATAGAAGGAGAAAAAAGAATAAGGTTACAAGTAGAAATTGATAAATGTAAGACACATTTTAAAATAAAAAAGATATATTAGAAATAATAAAATAAAAAAAAAATCTCGCAAAATGATTTTACAAAATGATTTACATTAAGAATCTTACCGATTTGTGCATGTTTTCTCTTCTTTTCCTATAAAGTGTGAAGAATCCTGAAAAATTTTGCGTTTATATGCTGTAGTTCTATGACGTCAGATTTCTCCCCACACATCAAAACATGCTGTAAGCTAATTGAAATAAATGAAAATTATCATGAACACATGACTTGTCATTTAAATTCATAACAATATCCATCACAGCATAATGATTGGCTTAATTGCGTTAATGGTTTAATTTTTGATCAGGCTATCGCTAGCTGTCAAAATCTTTATTTACACGCGGGAGTTTGACGTGAGTTATGAATTTTAAATTTTAATTAGTTTACTTATGAGTAAACGTTTTTACGCGCATTAAAGGACAGACACCACCCTAGTCCATAAATAATCTTGTGAAAGTTTGAACATTTATGTAACACTCCTTCAGAATTTTTTATTACACGTGTATACACATTAGTTACGTAACATAGCTTTGACAATTTTTGTAGATTCCAGAAGAAAACAAACAATATATTTTAATTTTTTAAAATACGTGTGTTAGTATTCTTTTCAAATCCTTTGACGTGTTAAGTTTAAGTACTTGATCAAAATATTTATTCAATCAAAAAACCGATAAAATAAGAAACATGTAATGAAAAAACAAGAGAAGTTATATTTTACAATCAAACATTAAATTTTTCCGCCAATCTGAGTAATAATGACAGTTATCAAGTCTCTTCCGACAAGTAGGTCCAAAATAAATCGAAGAAATTGACCGTAAAAGCAAATTATAATTTTTTGAATACTATTTATGGAATATTACAACAGAAAAAAGATAAAGGCGTGTTTTACCAATTCACGTTTGTGGCTTTGTAATAGAGCAAACACAAGAAATGCATCTAAAAGAAGTTATTTTAACACATTTGAAAATTAAGCTCTGGCCAACACATTGAGTCATCGAATTTTCTTCCTTGTCGTCTTTAAGGGGATTTTATGAATTTTTGGAGGTTAATGGGTTCTAATATTAGTGTAAAAGGTATTTGTAGAAAAAGACAAATTACTCCATGATTCAGTGTAGAATTTTATCTTATCAGTGTTTCCTCTCTTTTATTGTAACATTTGTGAAAATCCAGGATAAATTAATAAAATCAAAAACTTAAGCTCTATAACATTTTGTTTCTATTGTTTCACCTCTCATATAATTAAACTGTCAAGGTCGTTTGTTGCAATTAATTTTTTCAGAAATGTCATTGTTGTTAAGGTACAATTTTAATTCAAGAATTGCAAATTTTGTATTCTCAAATATTTACGTATTGAGTGCAGGTAAATCAGGTTAGTAGGAAAAAAAAAGTTTTATGAGCAAAGCATTTTTTTTCCAACAAAATAGATTTGGTAAAGGACAGGAAGGAAGAGGAAAAAAGAAAAGTTACATCAAAAGATATTTTGTGAAGGTTTGTTTTCATTTAATTCTTATAAATGATAAAGAATGTACAAAAAAATTTAGTTTTAGTTCACTGTTTTTATCAACGAAGAAAATAAAAAAAAACATAATATAAGTGGAAAAAGGGCTTTTGAAATCATGCATTCATAGAAAAATGGTATTTTAATTTAAACACCTTATTTAATAGCCTCATTAATTTATCATTTATTTTGTATCAGTTATCTGTTTTTGTCATATTTTATGCTTCTTTATAGGTGAAAAATTATGAAAGGGATGTAACAACATACAATTAATCAATCTTTAATCTTTTTATCTTTCTAATAGTTTGATTTTTTTATTGTTAAAACTTTGTGTACTTCAAATCAGTTAACTCTATTTAAGAACAATTTAATATCTACTTTTAAAATTCACATGAAATAGCACATGACATTGAATGATTTACTTTTCATTTATTTACATTTGGGCGCTGATTTATTTTTTTTTTAATTTTAATTGTTTCAAATCACAAGATTTTCAGTGATGCATACCAATTTAATGACCTTCAAATTTGTTTATCAACAAACAAAAATGTATCCATTGTTTTTGTACTTTTCAGAAGCATGTGTTTGTCCAATCACCCCCCTTGACCACAATTATCCTTATCATATGAGGTTTTTATTCTAACCAAGATTTGAAGGTTGAAAAGTTATGAATCTTTACAATAAAAGATGTCATAACTTTAAGTACCTTCATGTAAAAGTACAAAGGAAAAAAACTGCGGAAATGGTCGTGTACGTCCTCCAATTGCCATTGTACAATTAAAAAAAAGACAAAGGACCACGTAGGAAAATTATGTACTTTTAGCTTACGATAAGGAATATGTTTTCTTTCTGTCTAGTCGTTTTTGCTCAAATGCGAGAAATTTGAATTCTGACCTGTTTGATGCGGAACTTGTTCAATACAAGGTTTCTCCAAAATCAAAATATATATTTATAATATCATTATATATCTATATCATGATTCAACGCAAATTTAACTTGCTATTTTCATTAACTCTTAATGGTTTTTTGTAGGAAATGTATAGTAGAATGAAAAGTATTGCTTCAGATCAACGCGAAGTTTTCGTTTGGTTATACATGTCTATTATGCAATCTTTATTGTATCAAAATTTTCGCAATCTATTAAAAATAAATCTATAGATGAGATTTATCGCTGATGTTTTATCCCTAAAGGTTACTTTATCAATTACTTAAAACTCTTAAGGCATAGGTGTATGATTCGTTTGACATTATTTTGCTTCAGATGTCAGTAAATTTTGGCAGTTGTTTTAGATGATTGATTAGAGAAACAATCGTCAGCTGCCATGCAGAATGAATTCTTTTAGATATGTTTTTGTAGATCACATAATTTTAATCTAAGCAGTGCAGATTTCATGACGTTATTGTAACACATTTAAGACACTCTAACAAACATTTTTTTTTGGTTTAAATGTTCAATGTTCTCTAATGAATCTTTCTTTTGCGATGAAGAAATTGTTTTTTTTATTAAAAATGCACCAGTCCTTTACTTTTATTAGTTGCTATTTTGAAATTTCAATTCTACGCGAAATTGTTTTTGAGTTTTGAAATCATTGCGAAAAGAAATTATTGTAGCATCAACCAAAGAAAACACCACTTAACTATAATATTTTTTATAGGAATGTATCAACTAGACTGATCCAACATTTGTGGACATTGCTGGTTAAATAAACAAAAACCAAAATCAACCCAAACATATCCACTTTGAAACAAAGAAATATATTTGCAATAAAATGCATAAAAAATACTATCATGACTTTTAATTTATTTTTACCTTGTAAACTCAGTTGTGCTTTTCAAAATGCTATAGACTGTGTGAATATAATGAAACTACGTACCTTGCCTCGCCTTTTCTCTTTCATTATCATTAAGGAAATACAAAAGTATTGACCTTGCAACAATATAAAACGTTTCTTTAATTTTTCCAGTGAAATTAAAATTTCAACATTGCAGGTTATAAAACGTTATTTCCACCGTGAAAATTAGAACTTGACCTTCAAATTCTATTTATGACATTGCTAAATTAATGTGTGTTTTATGAAAATTAGTCCTCACTATAAATTAAATATGTTTTGACAGTAAAAAGGGGAGTCAAAAATTTCATATCTTTAGATTTTGCATCTAAACGTTTTGTTGAATTCATTCTGATTTAGCAAACATGCACTCAAAAAATTTATTCAAACGTCAATTAAACCTTGTATGTATTTGAATGTAGTATATGATAATTATATGAATAAATGAAATTAGGGGAAAACACTCAATTCAGAATCCTCTGCTTTAATGCTGTTTGTTATCTCGATATTCCACTTGTATACTCGTTTCTATATTGTATTCACTGATAAGGTCAACGTTTATCCCTTAGAATTTGCAATATGATGACACTAAACGAGTTTGTTGATTTACGTATATATCGTATGTATCCTTGATTCAACATTATCAAAAAATGTCCGGGGAGGAGGAAATGTTCTAAAGCACATTTATTTATAATGAACATTTCACATTTTATAATCTTTTGCTAAAACTAATACAGGAATTTTTTTGATTTTGAAAAAAGAAGATAATATATTGCATTTTCATTAGCTTACTAATATTTTTTACAAAGTATATTACCAACATTTTTTTCATTGCTGTATATATTTTTGATTCAGATTATCCAATCCTACATTTATCTAATTATTTAAAACAGACCTCCAGTGAACATGACCAAATTGACATAGCAGACCTTGATGTATCTGTTTCATATTTGGAAGTTTTACATCAAAAAGACAATGACTAAATATTTTTTTTCTTCTCTCTTATGAAAATAATTTTTCCATTTATTTACTAACTAGTTAAAACCAGTTTTTCAGGGCAACTTATGAGAAGGTTGGCTATTTTAGTAATTAAACACTCATGACGTACATACCAATAAAACAGTTTTGCAAGAACATTACACTATGTGTACGATTTTTCAAACAAACATATATGTTATCAATATGATCTTAATAAGAGTTGCAGCTCTCTACAAAATGATGTTAAGTAAATTATTTTTCAGTAATGTTTTGAATCTGAATAAAGAAAACCATAAATGAATAGAAAAATAGGAGAATGCATGATAAGTTAAAAAATCAAATATTGTTTGTCAAATAATGAATACCGTAATGAATTTATATCAATCATTAGACAGCATACGTGACGTACACATAAAAAAAAAAATCAAAATTCACTGAAGAAGTGAATCCTTTTTCTATAATGAAATAATTCTGTCCAAAGGCATAACATATTTTGTGAACATTAAGAATACTATAACTATATGCAAGATAGTATCTCGTCATGCATAACGTTGCTGACATGCAAATTAAATTACCAATCCTTTAAGAAAAGTTTTTTAAAAAAATTGGAAAACTTTCTTCCTAATGCAAGTCAGTACAAAGTACCTCATATAAGCAAATGCAACAGAATCATGTTTACATACGACAAGCAGCATATATAAATTGCATGTCAACATAATTCTGTTACATCAGGTGTGTAGGTGCTAGTAAATAAGTTTACCAACGCTAATATCAGATTCTCTAAATAGACTGCTTACTTGCATATCAACATAACCATTTTGTAAGTTAAACCAAAAAAGTTGAATGCCTTTAAAATCATGTTGCTTAATACCATAATTTATCTTGTATGATGGGACATGTGG